ATTTGCTGGAAAATTTAAAAGGTCACAAATGGGATGATTCAAAGAAATATTTGGAAATCTCTCTTGCAGTTCTATTTAGCATGAAAAGATCAGCAATTTCTAAGAAAGCCACTGGGAGTCGAGCCTACATCAGTAAAATGTTAAATCAGCACCAGGCAGTAGGTAAGACGTTGTCTGGAATTGATGAGGGTGCCCTTTGGCAATTACGATTAAATAAAGATAAAGCATTTGCCAAATCAGTATTATCTGTATCATTTTTCAAGGAAGCCATTACATCAGATATTCTGACTATGATGGTTTAGAAAAATCTCTGAGAACACAAGAAAATGTTTTAAGAATTCCCAGATTAACCACTTTGAGAAATAATTTGAAACGGTTCCAAATATGGTGTCAGAAACTGCCTCTCAAAATAAAAAGGGCTGGTTTGTTCATGATATTGAAGGCCTGATTTGGTGAAGTGTCCCCAACATTGACTAAAAACTAATTGGATTATGACCTTGATGATGAAAATGAGAGACAGAAGTTAGAAATAGTTGTAGGTGAGGGTGGCGACACTTTCCAAGACTTCAAGGGAGTGTCCCAAAATTTCAAAGTATTTGCCATCAGTGGTGCTATACGTCTGATAAAATATAATGGTAATGAAGTATGGAGAGATCCAAATTCACAGTCTGTTGCAAGCCGCCTTCCATTTGCCATTATAAATGCCTCAGAGAGTGATGCACTGATAGAAGTTGATATTCTTCCTGTTCTGGCATGCACTGAAAAATTTGCCCAACATGGTATAAAGGGGATGAAATACTGTAGAAAACTGGAGAGATGAAAAGTATAAAAGTTTGGTCTTGCAGGGAGGAAGAGTATCAGTTTTTTCTGCAATTTATGTTCGGCTACAGTTCAGAAATGTTACAATCCAAATCATGAATGTGATATGTCTATCACTCTTGCAGATATGAATTCATGGGCAAAGAAAAAAGTAATGGTCAGAGTAATCATCCTCTTATAAAGTATGACCCCATAAATGAATACACTATGGATCACCTTCATGCTAAATTGAGAAACGTGGGTAAACTAATTGACGAGCTCGTCAACGAGACTCAAAAAATCGACCAACAACTGGAAATTATACAAAAGTTTGCAAAGTTATCTGAAGATCAAAAACATGATATGAAGCAATATGAATCAAAACTGGTCGACCAATTTGATGCCAAGGTTGAAATTAATGAAGCAAATCATTCAGCAAAGTTACTTCAAGCTACTAAAAAGGATGATCAAACTTGATAAGAAACTTGAAGCAGCTTCACTAGCATTTGAAATTAAATACACTGAACACACTGAAGTGAATTCGTTGGATTCTGCTGAATCACATTTTGAAATTTTATTTGGCACACACAATGAATACAAATGCACACTATGTGCATCACATGTTGTATATAAAACCAAGCCAGGTATCGCTTGTCACATGCAAACTGTCCATGGTAAGTTCAGCACAAAAGATCTGAAACAAAACACAAGATGCATTACTAATCTCAATATTTAATATCAAAAATCTGTCATAATAATAAATTGTTATTTACACTCGGTAAAACTATTCCAAAGTCAGCCTAAATTGTCAAATTTGTAATGACGCTATTTTCTATGAAGTCTTTGACTGGAAAAAATGGGGCATGTGGAGGGGGTATGGCACATTTTCTTTGAAAATCATTTGTTATTAAACTAATCTCAATATTTAATATCAAAAATCTGTCATAATAATAAATTATTATTTACACTTGGTAAAACTATTCTAAAGTCAGCCTAAATTGTCAAATTTGTAATGACACTATTTTCTAGGAATTAATTCTTCAACTTCAAACACATCAATGTGTGTCACGTTTACTGGAGATGGGGCAAGTGGAGGGGGCGTGGCACTTTTTTTTTGAAAATCATTTGTTATTAACTATATTCAGTATATTCTCACTTTAATATTACATAATTTATTATGAATAATATGTCAGAAAATAATATTGAGAGAAACGAGTGAAATGCATTGGTATCTAAAACAGATACATACCTATAGTATCTCAATAGTGTATATATTATCTCAATAGTGAATATATGGTATGCAAATAATGACAAAATACATTATGACACTTTATTCACTACTCCTACGAGGGACATAACGTGTATATGGTCGATCTACATATCGTTGTAAAGCTCTCGAAATCCCCAACAAAATTACGTTTTTCATTTTCACGACCAGCATTTTTGCAACAAAAAAGGCACCAACAATTGAAGAAATTTTTTAAAAATTGCTTTTTTTCGTGTAAAACGTTAAAAAAAAGGACTTACCGAACGTAACATTGTGAGCCGCTATGTTGAAAATCCAGAGGAGGCACTTTCGCGGTAATTCTAACATAATTCAGTTTTTTGGCTTTAGCTTGGTGGATATCACGGCTAATTGGAACATTCGTAGAAGGGGCACTGGTAGACAATTATAGCAATGTCTGCTCGACATTGAGTTTTTTGACAAAAATCGCCATGATGTCAATAGCTTTGATCATTTGGATTTTACAATCCAATGACAAGGCACACCCTACTTAACCTGAGTTGTTGACATTCTGAAGTCAGGACGAAAACTGGCACATCAGTCATAGTCACTGAATGTATTGAGAATTCACAGCATACTTTCTGACACTTTGTGTCATAGGACTCCAATGTCCAGAGTCCAGAGAAATTTTCACTGCTACAAAAATTCTCATTTTTCCTGACTAATGAAATTTGAAATTATAAAAAAAATGGTAACAAAAGGGGCAACTTACGTCCATTGTGCTAAGTATCCTTGAAGAGAAATCCAATTTTTCTCGTTGGTTGCTACAGTCATATTGACATCAGGACCCCATGGATTCAAAGGACAGGTGGAAAACAGATTTTCTAATTCAGTTGGGGATAAAGCATTGTCTTTGTCCTGAAAGACGTAATTCAATGACTGAACATGGTAATAACGGATAGATAATCATGCCGCAAACAAATTATGGTTACTGGATTGAGGAAAGAAAAAATGGTTGTGATAGGATCAGAGTAATACTGAGAATTTGACATAGTATGTATAAACAACACAAACTTGGTATCTCTGGTGTTAACTTGCATGATCACACATCAGAATCACAAAAAACTGTTTGATAAGAGATTTGCAAAGTACATAATTTACTTCTTTTTTATTACAGCAAAATATTAAAATTTTGAATTCAAAAAATCAGATTTTGAATCAAAATATACACACACTACTCTCAAGATAGGTAAAATATTTAGAGATTACCTTGTCATACTTTTCAAATAGGATTGTTAGAAACTGATATCCTAGATGACTTAATTCTGTGGAACAACCAAGACCTATATGTAATCTGTGGAAAACAGATAACATTATAAATGAAGAACATAAAAGCCTGTCAATGTGGGATCCCGGCTTTTATTATGCCAAAAAATACCTAGGAAGGTACATAAAATGTGTTGCATTCTCAGTTTACCAAGTTTACCTAAATGAAGAACATAATATTTACACCAATAACTAATCAGGTCTGCAAAATACAGGAAGTATTTTTTGAAATATAACCAGAGCAAGCTAAAAATAGGCCTTAGACATAAATGGTCGCAGAGATATCGTTGGGAGTGAGAGAGCCACAAGAATTTTGTTTTTGTCCCTCAAATAGTGTTCTATTCTCTCCTGTCACCATGGCAACTGTTCTGAATACTTTGGTTACACGAATCAGTGAGGCAGTGAACATGATGTTCGACCGACAGACAAATTCATTGTTCTTAACAACATTTCATGTTCTGCATACAAGACCATGATGGCATTAAGAAATGGACTGTTAAGATGTACATCACTTACTTTGGATAAAGATAATCACATGTTAGCTCTAAATTATCATCATATCCAAACTTCCTTAAAACAGTCCATGTTGTCTCATGCCGACCTCTTTGGATAAATAACGTGTGCAGAAATAAAAACCCTGTTCAACAGAAACATATGTATAAATGAAAAAACATAATAATCTATTATCACTCTGGATAAACTTGTAAGAACAGGGGTCTTCTGAACAGACCTTAGCACAATTGGTTCTTTCAAGATGTATTGTTTCACAATTTTTGTATATAGTATTTAGTTTTCTTATAGAGAGATTTAAGTATATAGTGCAGCTACAAAACTGCCTAATAACATACCAACTTGTGTAAGTCCATCGGCAGATACACCTTCACTTATATTCTTCTTGACAACAGCTTTCACGTCTTCCAGTGCTTGCTGTTGCAGCGGTACATTGAAACACCGCTTCTATAATAATTAGAAAGAGCAGAAGTATTTTTAAAATTGTTTTTGTCCTATACATCAATTTGTGAGAAATAACCTAATTTGATTCAAGTAAACATTTCTACTATAATAATTTGTTACTCTAACAATGTAACCACCTAGAAGGAATTGGCCAGATTCAGATGTCTATCTACTTAAAAAAATATAATTATTTGTTCATGGTCAAATTATTAAATAGATTACAGTATAATTTTGATGGGTTTATAATATAAAATACTCCATAAAAGACAGTTCTAACTGTGAAACAGATAAAACAAGTCATTGAAAATGACACAGTCCCTGTTAAATGTTTGCAAGTTCTCTTTGTGCTCGTCATATTAAAGCGGAGGGGTTGTTGCGAGTGTGTTCTAGAAACTTGAGTTCCAAGTGGCGTATACAACAGATTGTTTATTTACATCAAAACACGTGTTCTGTGTAGTAGTAATATGGTCAAAAATTAAAACAGTCGTTATTCGGCCATCTTTGATCTGATTATGAAACACACTGATATGTATGATGTATGTGCCAAATACGAATAAAAATGGTACATAAATTGTGGAAATATAGTAGCAAGGCCAAAAAGTCAGATTGCTGTCAATCGGCCAGCTTTGACCAGATTTTGAAACAAATTGTCATGGAAATGCATGAATGAAAACTGACAGAGCACTTCCAAGATACCTCATAAAAAAAAAAACAAGATCCCTGCCAGCCGACCATCTTTGATCCAATTGCGAAATAAATCATCATGGACATGTATCCTAACATGTATAATCTATGTACCAAGTTTGAATGACAACTGACAAAGCATGTCCAAAATACAACATTTTCAAAAAACAAGATGGCTGCCAGTCGGCCATTTTGAATCGAATTGCTAAACCACTGCATGTGCATATGTCCCTCATAAGGTGCTAGGCACATGCAAAGAATGAAGGGAATCGGTCAACAGGATTCTGAAATATGACTCTGGACAGACTGACACATGGACGGACGGACACACGGACGGACAGACAGACAGACTCAGGAACTCACGGACGGTCAGGACATGTATCCTAACATGTATGATCTATGTACTAAATTTGAATGAAAACTGACAAAGCATGTCCAAAATATGACATTTTCAAAAAACAAGATGGCTGCTAGTTGGCCATTTTGAATCGAATCGCTAAACCACTGCATGTGCATATGTCCCTCATAAGGTGCTAGGCACATGCAAAGAATGAAGGGAATCGGTCAACAGGTTTCTGAAATATGACTCTGGACAGACTGACGCATGAACGGACGGACGGACAGACAGACTCAGGAACTCACGGACGGTCAGGACATGTATCCTAACATGTATGATCTATGTACTAAATTTGAATGAAAACTGACAAAGCATGTCCAAAATATAACATTTTCAAAAAACAAGATGGCTGCCAATCGGCCATTTTAAATCGAATCGCTAAACCACTGCATGTGCATATGTCCCACATAAAGTACTAGGCACATGCAAAGAATGAACAGAATCGGTCCAAGGGATTTTGAGATATGACTCCGGACGGACGCACGGACACACAGACGCACGGACACACGGACGGATGGACGGAGACCGAATTATAAGTCCCCGTTTTCGGACTTCGTCCAAACGGGGACTAATAATGCTAATAGCAATGTCTTGTTCAGACCAATGCTTTACTTGTGCTTTACAGACCAGTAAAGTACAAACATAGATTTTATACACACATGCATACAAAACAACAATGGTTCTAAAGTATATATTCTCTTGCAATAAGAGTTGGTAAATCATTAGGTACCTCCATTACCCTTATTAAAGTAAGAACTATGGTGTATAAGTTTACCTGGAAGAGATTGAGTTCTTGGTCATTAAGCACACCATCATTATCTAAATCACATATTGCAAATATTCGGGATAATGCTTTTGTGCACCCTGGTTTCAGCTGAAAATAAACACAATCATTACAAGTTTGTACAAATACATAACTACACAATATTATCCAACTCTGTTAAAGTAAAAGGCACACCTACCTCCTTGTCTTCAGCAGAATAAAGTGGCCCCGTAGGATGGAGTACAGCCTTTTGCGCGTAATAGAATAGTTCTGATATATTCTTCAATGTTTTGGCTGAACACTGCAATGAGATGATGGCAGTTATAAATAGAATTCAGCAAGCAAGAAATGAATAGGCTACCTCTGCCATGACATTACCTCACACATACACTAACATTGTCTCTCTCTCAAATTTAAAATTATCCAATTTGTTGATGGTTGAACATTTACGATATAAATATATTTAATTAAAACCACTCAGCTTCGTAAATTTTGCTTAATAGACAATACACACAATGTAATGTAAAATACTTTATTTTCGCTTTATTTTAAATCAAATCAAGCGAATATACCTTATATTTTACATTCAAATCGTCAAAAATCAGTAAAAATAAATTTCATACAAAACACAAAAATTGTGAAAAGTGAAAATAATGTATTTTATAATATCCAATATTGGCCTCCTCAAAAGTTAGTGAGCCCACTGTAAAATGTTGCCAGAAAATTAAATTGCAATAAGCATGATAAAAGCGACAAGATACAATAAGTTGTAAGACTAACCTCCACACAAGTTTCAACTTCAGCAAATTCATTCATTATTGGTATTATACTTTCCATACTAGTGGCATCCATTATGTCACATTTATTACCGACTAAGATGACTGGTATCTGGTGGTCAGGACCCAGTGTTTTATTAATCAATGGCAACCACTTGTCAGTAATCTGTGTTATACTATCATGTTCATCAACAGAGTATACCACACACACAACATGGCATCGTTGAATTTCTTCTTCTAAGGCTTCCTCATCTTGTTCCTGAGCTGAATAATCTACTATGTGTGTTGGTACTTTTTCAGGTGTTACATCAGCTGGGATGGTTATTTCCTCAGCCTTAGCAGGTACCTATAGGGACATGGGTATTAAATCACAATGAGGTATTCAAACAAAGAACTGATCTGTTTCCCCTCTAAGCTTTAATTTCACGAAATGAATTTAGGCAATATGAGAAACCATTTTTTAACTGCAAATACACCTGACTGAAGGTATTTTTTGAGATGCAAGCACAAAAATTCTTGATACCAAAATTGCTTAAGGAGAGTGTGACGCATTTTGTGTAATTTGATATTTATAGACGTGTGTATTATTTGTATGCCAATATACGCTCACGAGAGGGCGTTAATAATGATCGAATTTACTGGAGCTTAAGGAGTCTTTGTCCACTATAAATGTGGGTCACAGGTCAATTTCAATTCGTCGTCTATTATCACCGAGTCTGGACACATGGCTAATCACCAACACCTTGCCACGTGGAGGCATGCAGTTGCTTCGAGTTCTCAAAGACAGATTGTTTCACGTCAAGTCGAATTGAAGACAATGTACAGTTTCACTATGTCATTCCATGGACGTTTGTAAGAACTGCATCCTCTCTCTCTCAGCAAGATTTACAAGAACTCATTGCCGTCCAGCAATCACGTCGCAATTGTTTAAGCCGAAGCCAGCCAAAGATTAGGCCACGTGTTGTTTGCGTCGAAAAGATTGACTTTTGAAACTAGGTATTTTAGTGTCCATATCGTTTTATGACTCCAGGCGACTGTAAATGTATTTTCCTTGTGTTGTCTAATTTTGTGTGTCTTACCACACTGTTATTGTATTATGCTAAATTTGTAAATTTATTGTTCATTTGAATTAAT